CTATTCAAATTTTCTTGCATGCTTACAAGTAAATTCAACATTTCCTTTCTGACCTCATTCGAAATAGATTTGCATGCTCCAACATCTTTGGCTGTTTGAGCCAAGTGATGCTTCAATCGATAAGCACCTCCGCTTACAACTTTTTGACAATATTTGCATTGAATTCTTCTTGTACTTTCAATTACAATCCCATGTTGCCATGCTACATCATTCTTGTTTCCCGATGCATTCTTTATTAATGAGTTGGAAGGAGGATCTTGACTACTAGTTGAAGCCATTTTGTCTAATGGTAGCAAACAGTAGTAGCACAAAAAATAGAAAGCTGATAGGAGTCAGGGTCCTAACCCTAATATCTTTGTAAATACTAACTTAGACTAAGCCAAACCTTGGCTGGTGTACTCTAAAAGAAAGAGGACAGTTAATAATGTTAGTTAACAGTTAGCATTTAACAGTAACGGCTAGGAGTTAGTTTTCTGTTTTAAGGCCAATTATAAATAATAACTGCGAGAATAGTGAGGGGTCTCTTTTTGAAAAGTAGTTTCTGAAATTAGGCAGAGAAAATTCTCTGAGGAGCTTTGCTCTGGGAAACAGAATTGTATACACAATATTCATCAATTCAATAAAGAATTCATAAAGATTGTTTCTTTCTACCCTCTTTTTCTGGTGAACATAACATTGGTCCAACCTGTCGGATCGTTGGGGGAGAAACAGAAAGGTGTGGTCTAGCAAGAAATTTCAAGATGACGAAGCGTGGTGCAAATGAAGGTCAACGCAGTGATGCTGTTGAGGAAAGAATGAATTCCTTGGAGGAAAGATTGGATGTATTCATGGAAAAGCTGACTGGGAGGTTGGGAGGTCTTGAAGATTTGGTTCAGAACTTCATTGCCAAACATGATGACTCGTTGGGACAGAATCTGGGACAAAGTAATTCAGGTGCTGAAGAACAGGAAACATCGCATAATGCGGACGCTGATGCGTTAAATGAGTTTTGTTTGATGGCAAAGAAAGTGGAACTGCCGTCATTCAATGGGACTGATCCAAGGGGATGGATCACGAGGGCTGAAACATATTTTGAAGTTCAAGGAATATCGGACTCCATCAAGATTAAACTTGCAAGATTGAGCATGGAGGGAGGAACAATGTACTGGTTCCAAACTTGGCTTGATTCTGAGACTATTCCCAGCTGGGAATCTTTCAAGAATGCGCTGCGATTACGTTTTGGAGGGGGGCGTTTGGAGGATCCTTTCGAAGAGCTTGCTGACCTAAAACAAAAAGGGAGCATAGTTATTCCTCCTACTTCCTCTTACATTCCTCAATTCTTGGAAGAATTCCATGCTTCTTCGGAGGGTGGACATTCAGGTTTTCTGAAAACTTATAGGAGGATTGCTCAAAATATTTACTGGGTGGGCATGAAAAAGAGAATCCTGGAGTTTATCAGAAGTTGTGATATCTACCAAAGACAAAAGTATGCAGCTACTTACCCAGGAGGTTTACTTCAGCCCTTACCTATTCCTTCTTTGGTATGGGATGCTATTTCATTGGACTTCATTACAGGGCTTCTGAAATCTAAAGGCTGAGGCAGTTTTGGTAGTAGTAGACAGGTTGTCCAAATATGGGCATTTCATACTGTTTAAACATCCCTATACAGCAAGAACAGTAGCTGAGATTTTTGCTAAAGATATAGTTCGTTTACATGGCATTCCCTCTTCAATTGTGAGTGACAGGGACCCACTCTTAATCAGCTTTTTTTGGAAAGAGCTCTTCAGATTATAGGGGACTAAGCTAAATATGAGTTCTTCTAATCATCCTGAAACGGATGGTCAAACAGAGGTTCTAAATAGGTGTCTTGAGACATATTTAAGGTGCTTTGCCTCTGAACAGCCAAGGAACTGGTCCCTATGGGTGCATTGGGCTGAATTCTGGTATAACACATCCTTCCACACTGCCGCAGCTGCTACTCCATTTGAAATTGTGTATGGAAGACCTCCTCTAAGACTTGCCCAGTTCCTTCCTGGAGAAACAAAGGTACAAGCGGTAGCCAGTGATCTACTAGACCGTGATGAACCTCTTTCTCAATTGAAGTTTAACTTGCACAAGGCTCAGCAGCAAATGAAGTATTTTGCTGACAAGAAAAGAAGACCTATATCTTTTGAAGTTGGAGAGTTTGTTTTCTTAAAACTGCGTCCCCACAGGCAGCAAACAGTGGTCCGCAGGATCAATCCTAAACTTGCTGCTAGGTTCTATGGGCCCTACAAGATTCTGCAAAAGATTGGTGAGGTAGCTTATAAGCTACAGCTGCCTGAAACTTCAAGAGTGCATCCGGTATTTCATGTTTCTCAGTTAAAAAAGGCCATTGGTAATTACATTACCTCTCCTGATCTACCTAGAGGATTTGAAGTTGAACATGAAGCCACAATTGAACCCGAAGCTGTTCTAGAGCAAAGAGAAGTTACTAAGGACAACACGCCTTGCAAACAATGGCTGATCAAGTGGAAGCACTGTCCTCTAGAGGATACTACTTGGGAAGATGAAGTTGTGCTGCTGAGCCAATTTCCTCACTTCAGACTTGAGGCCAAGTCTACTCTTCTAGAAAGGGAGAATGATAGGAGTCAGGGTCCTAACCCTAATATCTTTGTAAATACTAACTTAGACAAAGCCAAACCTTGGCTGGTGTACTCTAGAAGAAAGAGGACAGTTAATAATGTTAGTTAACAGTAATAGCTAGGAGTTAGTTTTCTGTTTTAAGGCCAGTTATAAATAATAGCTGCGAGAATAGTGAGGGGTCTCTTTTTGAAAAGTAGTTTCTGAAATTAGGCAGAGAAAATTCTCTGAGGAGCTTTGCTTTGGGAAACAGAATTGTATACACAATATTCATCAATTCAATAAAGAATTCATAAAGATTGTTTCTTTCTACCCTCTTTTTCTGGTGAACATAACAAAAGCAGAGCACAAAAAGAAAAAAATGAGGAAAATCCCTATCACCCACAGTAGCCCCAAGATGATGAAGATGAAGAAGAAAAAAACAGAGCTCAAAAAGCAGAAAATCCCAACAAAGAGCAGAACCAAATCGTAGTCATCGGAAAAATGCAGGTGGATTCTGTGGAGTTGAAGGAAGAAGTCGCATAACAAAGCAAAGGAGAAAAGTTGCAGAACAAAGCAAAGAAGAAAGGGAGAAGTAGCAGAGCAGCGTTTTTAGGATTTTAGGGTTCCAACTACTTTAATGAAATTGGGTCGGGTCGCGGGTATTGGCCCAAAACTAATGCCGGAGATCGTAGAATCGTACGATTCTACGAACCGGCATGTGATTTTAACTACTATGGTTACAAGTGTTGGGATAGGAGAGAGCGGGCTCTTGAATACTTGAAACATTCTTTTACTTTGTGTAGGGTACCAATTTTCTTACATAGAGATTCAATAGCAATAATACTGTGTTCTTTCTTTGGTTATGTTCTTTTTTTCTCTGTTCTTATTCTTTGGGTCCCATTCTATCAAAAAGATCATCAAGGTTAAACACCATGGCTTTCCTCGATGTTTTTGTGGCCAATGTTGAGTTAGCCATCATGTAAATAACATCATTCATAATCTGTTGTTTCAAATGGTTTTGGCTATTTGTGTAGGCCTAAAAAATATATAAATGTAATTAATTAATTACAACTGCAAGTAATAGGTAAAAGATGAAATGCAGTCCTACATTGTTTTAAAATTTTACCAACTCAGGCTCCAATTATACTCACATCTAGAGGAACTGCATGTCAAGTTTAATATACAAATAGCAAATATTTGGGGCTTGGATGTTGATATCCATAAGATTCCCACCATCATGTGGAAGTATTGATATTTTTTTAAGTGCATTTAGGGCTGCATTGCTGCCAAAAAAAACTTTTTCTTTTGCCTTAAAATCTTAAAATTAAGCATCAATCTTTTAGTCATTTCTTCATCACTTTCCACCATCCTTTCTATATAATCATATAATTCACGTTTAACTTCAAAATCGACCTTAAAAGTAAAAATAGTGTAAAATATGGTTAGGGTAATGTGCTGCAGCATGCAATGGCCTATGGAGTTAGTTGTCGCCCCATCTTTCATCGATGATATACCATAGAGGGAGATAACTAATTGATGAAAAAATTAAATTAGTTTTTAGACAGAAAATAAATTTTTTAACTAAACTAAACCTAATAATTTATTTACCTTCTTTTACTACCATTGAAGACCTTTACTATATTATGTTTAGCTCGATCAATTTCTTCATAAGTGAACCCCATATCTAGTATCTCATCCGAATCAACCAAGCACAAAAATTTGATTAAAGGATAAGCAACCTTTAAGCAGACCACAACACTTTTCAAATATTTTTATCCATAATCACATCTTTAATAAACTTCCCACCTTTTGATTTTGCAAACTGGCTAGTCTTGATTATATGTGGACATCTAACTAATGCTCCCTTATTCTCTTGAAGGCATCCCGATTGCACACTAGTCTTTGCAAACTGGCTAGTTTTTATTTTGCAAACTGGCTAGTCTCTTGATAAATGGGCAACTTCTTCTCCAAATCCTCCAATATCAAGTCTTTGTAGTGAGCAGCACATGATGCAATTGCATGCTAGGAGTCTGGGGTTGCACGATTCCACAATTTTATGAGTAAGATTGTGCGATCCTAGCAATCTTACAAAATCGTGTCAACTCCCAAGATTGGGATTCCTTATCATGGAGAAAATTGTAAGATTGTATGATCTTACGGGTATACTTGCAATTTTGATTACCATGCTTGAAAGTGTTTGTAAAGTAGTCAAGAATTTTTTATTCTACAATCGTTTGCTGGTTGACACATTTGGGCATTAGTGGCTTTATATCTCATAGCTACACCAAAAGCAGCAAATTAGTTTTGCTCCCAGAAGTGTGAGCATTGGAACTTGGAAGATATAGTTGTCTTTTTCTTTCCCTTTGTTTTGGTGTTATTATCATTCTACTTGGTATATGCTTATTGTATATTTTCAGGGGGCATGGATTCTCAAACCCAAAAGCTCCGAACCCAATTTTGTAGTACATTTTATTGGAGGTATATTTGTTGGAGCTGCCCCTCAGCTTACCTACCGTTGGTTTCTTGAGCGTCTCTCAGAAAAGTAAGGTTCTGTTTTGTTCCCAAATCATCCACGTTATGTTCTTGTCATAAAATTTGATTATGAAGTATGATAATTACTAGTTGGTAGTGTGTCACTTGAAGGGTGGTTCTTTTTATCCATTTTAAATGCATGTGTTGCTATGTTAGTGTAAGACCTTTTGATATTCTTATTCTCTGACAAACTCTTATTTGTTATGAAATATCCTTACAACTGGATTGAGACTCATAAATAATGAAAAAAAACTAATTATAAAACCATTGCTGTTACTAGGGGTGTATTGGTCATTGCAACACCATATGCTAGTGGATTTGATCACTTCCTCATTGCAGATGAAGTACAGTTTAAATTTGATAGGTGCTACCGCACACTGCAAGAAACAGTAAGTTTCAAATTTTGATCTGATGGCTAATTTCTTTGTGTTTCCAATTTCTTTTCTTTTCTTAAAGGAAAAGGTTAAACATACTCATTGATTCAGATCCAAGAGCTTCCTATTTTTGGTGTTGGCCATTCTTTGGGATCGGTTATCCACCTTCTGATTGGTATATTAAAGATCTTCTAATCTTGGTTGTATAAAATAAATTGATTTGATTCGTTGAAACTCAATAAATTAAATATTTTACCAGGATCAAGATATGCAGTGCAAAGATCTGGAAGTGTTCTCATGGCATTTAATAACAAGGTATTTATATACCATCTGCCTTGACAGAAGTCATATTTTCTCGGTATTCCCTATGTAAGAATTCTCTTTGGAGTTAATCATGAGTGACTAAATTTTGTTTCATTGTTGCAGGAAGCAAGTTCAGCCGTCCCTTTATTTTCTCCAGTGCTTGTCCCAATGGCCCAAACGATTGGTCCACTTCTATCAGATATTTTTTCGTCACCAACTCTACGAGCTGGGGTTAGTATTGTCATATATCTATCTTGCCTGCATGAGAGAGACATTTATTAAAAATTTCTAGGAGAAATACCAACAATCTCCCCTTGAGGTATGTCAAATAGAATTTGGCTCCTTTCCTGTTTAATGCCATATTACAACAACCATGCCTTTAGATTGTTGGAGAAAAGTAGGAACATTCATATCTAGATGTAGACAAATTATATTTATATCTGTTTTTTTTTATTCTATTATTTTTATCTTTATTGTGTAATTGGATGCACCTAAGGGGACGTTTGGAAGAGCTTATTTGGACCTATGGTAGTGACTTATAACCTTCCTGTAAGGTCCTTTTATCTTTTTTTCCAATAAGCTTATGGAAATAAATCTTTTGAACTTATTTCAATAACTTTCATAGTTAAGGTTGCCAATAAGTTTTAATTTGATGAGAGCCTATTAAATAAGCACTTAACCAAGTTGTTTTACTAAACACACCCTTAGACCTTTTTTCCATCAAACTCTTAGACAGCTCATTCAAGGTGTTCCTTAACTTATGTGAAAGCCAAACCTGCAACTTCATATGTAAAGGCTTTTTAAGAACTTAATATTTATTTCCTGTCATGAAAGATTATTTACATCTCTTGCTTTGTTTTCTCTTGCAAAATACTTTTGAAAGAGAGGTGGGAAAATCAATTGTTTCATCAACAAATTAAAAGAGAAAAAAGCCTAGGATGTCTCAGGGGAGGTTGTTGCTGTATGATATTAGAAACTAAAGGAGTCAAGTTCTATATTAGACCATGTCTCGAGAGAGCTTCCCACAGTATTTCCCTCAAGTGCAAATTGTCACAGTAATTGCATAGTAGAAGTCAACAATATTTCATGGCTAGGGAGGTTGATGTAGTAAGGGAGTAGTAATCAACTGCAATGTTGGAAACAAACTGGGTGGTCTCTTTCATTTGACCATATCATTAGGTATTTGCTTTAATTTTCCGTTCAGATAGACATTGCTGTCATATCTAGTTTGGAGGAAATATTGGAGACTTCATATTTGTTTTCAAGCACCTACAAGTACTCCTTTGCAAAGTTTTCATTGTACTTCTTTGGATAGCTAATCTTAGATGCGTCAAATACTTGCAGGCAGAGATGACTTTGAAACAATTAGAAAATGTTAGCCCTCCCATATTGAAGCAGGTTCTTCCTTTAGTTGAACAGCTCCCTCCCTTGTACATGGATTTGGTCAAAGGAAGAGAAGATTTTTCTCCAAAGCCTGAAGAGACACGTCGACTTGTCTGTGACTTCTCTGATTACTACTATTTCCAGCGATGAGCATTTTTTGTTTAAAAACAAACTTAGAATTCTCCTCTTGCATAAATTCTATTTCTTATTAACATAACTGTTGCAATCACACCTTAGAAGACAAAATTAATTGAATGTCATTTTTGGGTCTAGAATCTTTATATTTATTGTGTAATCCTCCATATTAACTAGAAATAGAGGCAGAATATTCTTTTTAAGGCTTGAGCAACCTCCTTCTTTGAGCTAGCTTGGGGTAGTGAATTGGGCCTAGTTTTCGAACAGAGGAATTAGCAAACAAGTTGATGTCAATATAAAAATTGTCATTCATTTCCAACTCGCCAACTCGATTTCATTACTGTTAAACTATTACCCCTGCAATAGGGGCCAAACATCGACACATGCAAGGCCCTTCAAATTTTAAATGTTCTGTTTGAGTCTCTCTATCATTTTGCATTTAATTGTCTCCTCTATTGGTTTTTAATTCTTCAGATAAAATCGTACTATGGCATATCCAGAAATCTTTTGATAAAATTCAACGATGATTTAATAGATGAGACTTCAACACTAGCACAGGTGCTTAGTTCAGAATCAGCCATTAGCTCAGTGCTAGACATGTCAATACGCAAATTGCCTGGAGATCACGGTCTTCCATTGCAGCAGGTATTTCTAGTTAGTATAACTTATTTCCTCCCAACGTTTGCGATTATCTGCGTTTTTCTTATACACCTTGCAGGCCCTACCAGATGTTCCACCAGCAATGGCTGATGCAGTTAACCGTGGAAGTGAGCTTTTGTCAAATCTTACTATAGGAACACCATGGGAGACAGTTGCCAAAGAAGTAGGGAACACGCTAGGCATGGATTCAAGGGTCCTACGTGCACAAGTATCGAAGGAAATGGATCACCTTGTAGATGTGATAGCATCCTGGATAGCCTCCAACGCAGGGCCTAAACTTCTGAGGCCGTAAGATCACAATTGCATACATGCTTCGTGTAATGTACAGAAAAATCAAAGTTTGCATACACGCTTCTTTCTTCGTATCTTGTAGAATGCCAATCATGTCAACCATCCAACTAAAGCATTCAGCATGGTGGTTAATTTTTTCGTTTTGTGAAAGAGCACAGATATATAATATCAAATCAGGAATATATATATATATATATATATATATATAATGTTGTTGTTGTTATTATTATTATTATTATTATGAAATCCTGATTATTGAGTGGAGCAAGAATTCACTAAAATTTATTTCGATTTGAACAAATTAACTTTTTTTTTTCTAATTTAATTATTTGGAGTGAGAATCATATTGTTGTTAGCTTATTCAACTGATATACTTAAAGTGATTGTAATTAAAAAATAGTAAAATAAAAACTAATAAAGGAAATTATATTATGATTAATATTTAGACCAATTGTTGGGTGTGTAAAAGCACAAGTTATTATCATTAAATATGCATTATCAGTTCATAAATTGACTAGAGTATACTTTCTAAGAACGTGTAAATATGCACACACTTTAATCGTTGTTATGTCGGATGCTATGTTACATAATCTAAATATTTCTAACTATATAAATAAATAGTAACGATTTATTTGTGTTTTAAATAATATATCATCTATTATAATATGGTGAGGTAATATTCAAATAAAATAAAATATTACAAATTTCATATGCTTCAGAAGAAGAACTATAAAATCAACAGTTAGAATAGTAAAATTTACTTTTGGTAAGAGTTATTGGAGGTGTCATTTGATTGACCCTTATATAAAGAGAAAAATGCAGTGTCATTAAGTAAGTCCTCCAAAGATAACGAGAGTCAGCTTGGAGTGATTACTGGTTGTATTCGCTATATAAAGTCTATGAAGGGAAGTAGATGAGACATTTTGGCAAGAGTAATTAGTTACTTAGAGGAGGGATCATAACCTCTTACAGTCTTGATGTCTTGATATTGTAATTCTCAATAAATGTTTTACTCTTTCGTTCTCAGTTGGATAGTTAGTCCCATCAACTGGTACTAAAGCTCTCTTTCTTAGAGTGGGGGAAGGATTTAGAGTTTTAGAGTATTTTACATTAGTTTAATAATACATTGCAGTGCAAAAATATTGTTAGGATTTATATTGTGAATTAATAACAAAAAATACTAAGCGTTGTGCTAGGTTGGATTGGGCCGGTGAGGCAAAGCATTGCGAAAGACCCTAGCAAATACTTTTACTTAGTGGATGAAAGCCAGATCTATACTTCAAATTTTTACTGTAAAATTACGGTTCTCGCTGTTAATGTTAAACTTTTAACTAAAATTATTTGGAAATTATATATATATTGGACACAATTTTTAGAAGACCGACAGAACTGAATTTAGCAATTTTTTAGGATTAAACATTTACTTTAGTCTTTAAAATATATAGCGTTATTTATATCGATATCTTAAATTTTGAATTTAAATTTTTAATCTTTATAATTAGCAATTGTTAATCATGTAAGTCTTTATCATTAAGAGATGTTAAAATTAAGTAACAGAGTTTATAATTTTTATAATTTGTCATGTTCAGTGACACGTATCAATTCATTCTTTATACAAAATAATGTCATTTTATAATATTTCAAAAATAGTTTATTTTTGTCCATGATTTTAACATTTTTGAGCAATAAGTTTTCTCATCGTCTTCTGCTCCGCCTTCTTCTATGGTATCTTTTTCCTTTCTCCGACAATGGTGTAATGATATTTACGTTGTAAAAGTCCTTCATCTTGACTTTTCTTAGTTGAATTAATAGATTCAAGTCTCAAATCTGTGAATGGATAGTCTTTTCTAAGATTTGATTGGAAATTTTCATTTGTTCATTAGTTTGGAGGTGGTATGGTATGAAAACTCTAATGCACAACTCCAAACTCTAAAGTAAAGCATCTGTGGTGCGATTGCAAAAGTGTGATCCCTGATCACTAATCAATGTTTTAGGAAAGTCAAACTTGTAGAAAATATGTGACCTGACAAAATCTATAACAATATGAGCATCATCAGTATGAATGGCCTTTACCTCTACCCACTTAGAAACATAATCCACTATCAACAAAATATAAACAAAGCCAAATGAAATAGGGAAGGGACATATAAAATCTATATCCCATACATCAAACACCTCATTGAAAAGAAGAGGTTGTTGGAGCATCTCATTCCTGCATAAGATATTCTCAGTTCTTTGGCATCGCTTGCATGTCTTACAAGTGTGTGCATTGATAAATCTATACTTTGACATGTTTTTATAACCTATATATTGATGAATGATCATTATTTTACTTGGGTTTTGCACTAATTTCTATGAGTAATGTGCAGAATGTGAGAAGGCTAAAGTTGGGTTTTTAGTGCATTTTGAGCCCAAATTGACTGGAAAATAGAGCTTTGCTACAATCAGTACACCCAGACCTCAACAGCAGCATGAGAGTGCTTCGACCACATGCACGATCGTGCTTATGACCTTGCACAATTGTGCTCATCTGCAGGAAGCACAACTTGAAAAAAATTTAAGGTTTTCAAACCTTATTAAAAGCGACTTTGGGGCAGCGACTGGGATCCTGTTTCTTATCTTGTTTTCATCTCATCCTTCCTAGCCTTTTACACATCTTTCTCATAACCTTGCTTGTGATCATTGACATATTCTTAGCAAAACTTGAAATTTTGAGCGATTGTACTTGAAGACTAGAAACTCTTCTTATCCTTAATCCTTGGAGATAATCTAGTTTGCTATTTCCTTTTGATTATAGATTTGTTTATAATTGTTTTAGTTCTTTTCTTTCGTATGAGTAACTAAGTCCATACCTAGGGCTATGAGAACTCTTGTTTATGATTAGTGCTTGTCCTATTATGCATAGTTATATGTTGTGAATTTTCCATTTATAACATAATCCTAATTAACTACATCGTAGACAATTGTACCACGATTAGTTAATGAATCTCTAAAATAAAATAAGACAAAGGATTAGGCGAACTAAATTAATCTTTCTCTTTCAATCGTTATTAAATTAAAAAGTTTATAGATGTTTTATGCTTTCTTTAATTAATATCTTGCATGATCATTGTGAATGTTAATTTAAAGAAAAGAATATTAATATTAAATGACCATTGGGTATTAATAGTATTTGTACAAATAGTTGGCAATCACATTTAAAGTTAAACAAAATAATAACAAAAAAGATTAAATGAGTAAACTCATATACCCTAGGTTCCTCTCTGACTGAACAAAAGATTTATCGTTAATCCTCATCAAAATATAAACAAAAATTAATGTAATACTAGGGTACTAACCTAAGTCATCCTCTTGTGAATCATTGGGTGAATGACCAAATATCAAACATATGGTGTGCAGTGTATTTAGGAAACAAGTAAAAAGAGGGTTTTGTGGTTTCAAGTCCAAATTATCCAAGCAAAAAATTAAATTGCAAAGTTCAATCAATAAAATGTAGTAACCCCTAGTTTGTCAATGTAGATTCTATCCCAATTCCTCTTAAGATTTAATACTCGATCATTTTCCCTAAATTAGGTTAATTTAACAAGCAAAAATTAACCTTAAATTCCCCTATGAAATCAAGAAAATTAATGGGCTTCAATCTCTAATCTTTTGGATTAAGCAACCTTAGAATTAAACTCAGAATTAAGCAAACCAAGTTCAGAACCTTTTTTAAAAATGAACTAGAGTTTGATTAAGAAATGCCCTCTAATTAATTCTTAACTTAGTTCAAGTGATTGGAAAAGAAGAAATTCATGAGAAAAGGGTTTATATTAACATTAAAAGCCCAAGAATTCAAGAATCCATATGACCTCATTAGGAATTATAAGAAAATTAGCCCTCCACGAGGATGGGTTTTACCATTATAAGATGAGAATTGTTAAGATGTCCCACATTAATTAAGAATAGAGCCAGAATACTTCTTATAAGGGTTAAGACAGTCCTCCTCCTATGAGCTAACTTTTGGGAGTGAGTTAGACCTAAGTATCTTAACATGGTATCAGAGCTTATTCAATTTGAACATTAGGTTACCCATAAATGTCTAGTCCTGCAAGTTTCATGTAACGCCCCAAATTTTTGTAATATAGTTTGATTATTAATATAAGTGTGACGTTGACTTTTCTGTGTTGTGTATTTATTATATATGTAAACATATATCTACGTGAGATACGAATCGATATTGGAGTTGCACTTGAGCATGTATGGTGAACTTTGAATGCTGGTGTGTATAAATATACTGTATATGATTAGATTGGATTGATTGGGTTGAGAAAACAGGTGAAGGGTGTAATACTGGGGCATTCTCGCTATAGTGAGAGAGCACTAGGAGGAAGGTGTGAAACTGTCGCCTTCTCGCTGTAGCGAGAGGTCTCTTGCTGCAGCAACAGAGCGACAATTTGGGGTGCATTTCTAGGTGCAGTCTCGCTGTAGCGAGAGGGTCTCGCTGTATCAAGATTCTGCAGAAACCAGAATGCAATTCCCTTTGAGATTTTCGCTGTAGAGAGAGAGGGCTGCAACGAGAGCATCGCGATCAAAGAAGATTTAAAGGGGCTAGGGCTTGGGAAACTCATTTTTCCCTTTTCTTTCTTTGAGGCCCCTTCGATTCTATTGACCTAAAACCATATTTAACTGATTAAATTGCCTCTAAAGCCGTTCGTGAGCTAGATTGAAGGTTGGATTTGTATTGGGAACGCTTGGAGGTGAGTTTCGATTGTTAGGGTTTATGTTTTCTCATCCCCACTCACTGTCTTCTCGGTTCTCATAGGGTTCTCACATGTAATTAGGTCAAAGTTCGTGTGGAGGAGCGCCTACCATGTTGTTATGGTGTGTGGGTCTGCATTTGAGGTAAGGGGGAGACTCTACCCTATCTCATTATGTTTAATTTACCGTTTATTTGATTGAATGTTGTGATATGGCTGAGATAGAGAGTAGAAAATGTGTGATTTGATGAAGTTATTATGCGTTTGGAGTGAAATGTGAATTGATTGTGGGGTTGACATACCCTTGATTGAGAATGTATGTGAGCATGTTGAGGAATGATGATTGAATGAT